GATTTATTCTTCTTCTGCTACCTTTCATTTTCAGTTCATTTTGATTTGTGCAATTTCTTTGTTTTCAATTGTATATCGTTGTTTTATTTTTTAATTAAATGAATAAAAAAATAAAATATGTAAAAGTTTAAATTATTTAGAAAGCAGCGTGTTAACCCTAGATATCCAGTCGTCCAGGGTTTGTCAAATCCTAAATGAGTCAAAATCACTTTTTTTCACGTTAGTTGAAGTTTTGCTTCTCGTCTGAGGAGCTTTTTCAATTCAAATGAGAAGTTCTGAGTGTGAAGCTGTAATCTGCAGTAAGGTGATGCAGTTTATGCCAGTGAGAATACATGATTTCAGCTCAGAAACAGCTCCTCGCTGCAGATTAAAAGCACGGAACTCCCGACTTTTTCTTGGAATTGGGAAGATTTCTTTGAATAAGAAGCATAAAGTCAAATTTTTGTTTTTAAACAGGATGGGTGTATTGCTGGATATTGTGCTGATGTAGTCAGAAGATTTCTATTTTGTTTTTTCTTTGTTTAAAAACCTCCATACTTGAATTTAAAGTATCTGGATCTGCATTTGAGAACCACTCGTTCAACCTCAGCACTTTTGCAGAACGTGTCCTAAAAATCCCAATGAGYGCACATCCACTGCCACCGACTGGTGAGGTGTTTGAAACGGTCAGGGACTCACTTGTCTCTCCCCGGTCTGAGTTTAACCTGAAACACGGCGATGACAGGTCGGTGGTCTGAAGTCTTGACGCTGGAGCAGCTGTTGTATTTCAGCACCCTTATGTCGTTGGCCTGCCTGCTCCTGAACAGGATCCGGTCCTGCCAACACAACATTTTCAAGCAAACCGGTCAGAAAGAGCTGCTGAATCTAATCTGTACCTAATCTTCGATCAGAGGTTGGTTTTTACTGTGTAAGAAGGCGTTCTCTGCTTAGATGTGGTATCGTACGTATCGCAGCCGAGGTCAAATTTATACGTTGGGAAGAAGCGTACCGGTGCCTCCTGAAAACCTTTGAAGATGGAACCTGCAGGCGAATGAAAATTCAAACAGATACGACTGACGGCTGGTTTGAAGCTTTAGTTCAACTCATTCGTACCGTCTTTCATTTCTTTGGAGAGCTGGTCGTGCTCCAGCAGGGGGCTCACGTCCCCACCAGCTGTCTGCTTCATGATGGTTTCCACGTCAGCCCGATCCTTGCTGAGACGGAAATTAAAATCTCCGAACCAGAAGACCTGGTCGAACTTTGTGGTGGCATCAGCTGTGATAAAATAAAAATGGACAGTTTTAAGAAGAAACAATAAACAGGTAAATTTAATGATTTAAATAGTTGATTCAATAATTTACATGGGCTTGAGCGGTAAGGGTTGGTGTCTGGAACGCTTTTAGGAAGAGCTAAAGCCTCGATGATCTTGTTGTAGTCCAGTATCCTCTCATAAACTTTGGCGTCTCCAGCTGTAGSAAGAACCAGGTAAAGCATTAAAAACGTGCAAAGCTGTGTTCCTTTTAGTGTTTAAAAGATTTACCAAAACATCTTTTGTGACAACTAGACATTTACTGACTCGAGTCCACTACTCACACGTGAAGTGGGACGTCATGAAGAGGAAGGAAGTGCCAAAAAAGGTGAAGGTGACTCCYACGGCTCCTTTGGTTTTGATCTGAGAGATGATCCTGGTTGTGACTGTAGCATGCTCCACCTCTGTGAAAGTCAGCAGAGGAAATATTCAGGACATTAATATGTTGTGTGCTGAAAATAAAGTCTTTAATGTTTGAATGACACTTTTGGATCATCGCTCAATATTGTGATCAGTTTTTCTTAGCTATGTTTTTCGACACATATCTCGTTTCGCAGTTTTTGTTTCATTTTTACAATTTATATATCAAAACGTTCAGCTCCTTCAGCACATTTCTGCTATGACTTTTGCTACTTCAGTAAATTATATTTTTTGAAATTAACTTTTCCAGTCATGTTTTTCTCATTGACAATGAATAAAGCTGTCCTCAATATCCTTAAAACCCTTTAAATGTTTATAAAATTGTACTGTACTTTACCTTTTGTTCTAATTTTGCTTACTTTCCAATTTTGATGTGCTAATTTCAGCTTCCTTTGGCTTTTATTAAGCTGATTTGAGCTTTTTTTCTGCCTTTTTTAGCTATCATTCTTAACTTTTCTGCTATTCTGCTAATTTTAACCTTTTAACGCTTCTTTCTGCTTTTTTTTAGGCTTTTTGAAAAAATTTTCAGCTGTTTTGTAAGTTTTGGCTACTTTTTGGCTTAGTGCTTTTTTCAGCTAAATTCACCTTTTGGTTATAATTTTAACTTCTTACATCTTTATTTAAGGCCCTGTCACACTAGACAACTTATGCCAACTTATGAAACAGTTTCTATGTCTAAATTGCTAAAATAAACAAATAAATAAAAAAGTTACATATTTGATCCATTTGTTTTTTCAAATCCATCTTCAACATAGACGTCTTTAAAATGTTCATAAGTTGTCTAGCATGCCTGCCTGCTAGCTACACAAAGACACACAAAAAGGATGTGGTTCTAACAGAAAACCATAGAGCTGGCATGCAACAGCTTCATGGAGGATTACAGCAACAATGTGCAAAAACATAAAAATAAAAACAGTACATTACATTAGTAGATTGTAAAGTCAAACATGTAAAAATATCGTTAATTGTTCAGTTTTCCTGCAGAAAACTTGACAAAAACAATTATCTTATAGGATTATTATGGGCTAGTTTCCGCCTTTTTTAGCTATTCAGCAAATAATCTTTTTTCCAGTAATGCAAATGATTTAGTTTGATTTTAGATTATCTGTGTGAACACCTTGGAGGACAAATCGATTGTTTACGTGAAGCAGAACAGACCTGAACAGAACCAGATGAGGTCTCTCCTAATAAATACAGTGAGGTACAAAACGCCATGTGCTGCTGTGTACAGCATCACGTAGTGAGGTCCCAGAGTCTCCTGGAGACACGTCTCCCACTCCCTTCTGCAGAAACACAAGCAGAGACTGATAGAAACCCAGTTCACAACAATCACAGTGTAACACAAGACGTTTCTTCGAGACAAACCCAACTTGTCAGGGCAGCCTTCCTGAACCCCGATGATATAAAAATCTTGTGCAAATTCGGAGTCTGTTGGAAGGAGGAGATCATTCAAGTTGCCTGAATGGAACTGAAAAGGACAGAAGGCTCAGTGAGAACCCGGTTGGGTTTTGTTGTGTGAGATGAGATCCGGAGCTTCCCCTTACCTTTCCCCCTTGCATGTTCCACGTGACGACGTACACGCCCACCCTCCGGTCGGGGAAGTGCCGGTCCAGCTCCTCGGCCCCGAGCAAGGCGCCGCTGCCCAGCACACTGCCCTCCAGGAAACTCCTGGAAGATCGAAAAGCAACACCAGCGTAAGCTTTATCTGCAGCCCTGCTTGTCTTGCAGGATGCAGYGAAGGTAAAAACAAAGCTCACATCTTTAAAAAAAAGGCAAAATATCCTGAAGCTGCTGACTACAGATAAACTGAATATAAAGACTGCAGACTACGACCCGTTTTCGACCATCCTCATGTCAAAAGAATAACCTGAACAAGCATTTCCTCTGATCTGATACTAATCCCCCTCACTCCTATTCCTTTATAGATGTGAGCACTTTTACACTTAAAAAAGAAAAAAAAATCWATGTTTTAGTTCCAAACCTCTCACCTCTTTTTGACCTTGGTGGCAAAAACTTGAGTTCAAGGTAAGAAAACAAAACCATGTTGCAACAAGATAAAAGCTGCAATTCATTCAAAATGTGACGAGTCAGCAACTGCAAAGCTTACCCTTTCATGCAGCATTTCTTGTATTAAAGATAATAATGTAGACACAACAGCTCCCTTCTTTTGTATTTATATATTCCTGTCAGYCATGTCTGTCAGGTAAATACTTCCTTGTAATTTAACTGTGATTACCTTCCATAAGATAAAACCCTCTCAGTTGCCTTTAGCTCCGAATTCAAATACACTCTACCTGGAAAGCAGAGCTGAAGGAAATCTTAGTGGATTTCAGGGACAATAGTTCCTGTTTATATGCAGCATACAGTAAGGACAAGTCAGGCAAAATCATCCTTTTTTTATCATATATAATTATCAGCATAAAAAGTGTGCTTCTGTGTAAATATAAGGTTTCAAAGAATGGAAATAAAAAGGATCTACAGTTTTCTGTTGTGCTAAATGTAAACATTTAAATGTTATTGGTACCTACACCAGGAAGAATAAGTTACACAAAAAGGTCCTTAATRTCCAACCTGGAGATGCTCTAAGTCCATTACGTGTTCTGCTAAGTCTGCTTTACCTGTTTCTCATATCCTGGGGTCTGATGGGGCTAAGGACACTGTAGATGGACTTKATGGAGTTTACAGAGGCACTATCCTCCAACGTCTCCAGAAGCCGGTTGTCGCTCATGTTCCTGTGAATTCTCTCCTTCTCTTTGACCATCCCGGCATAATCCGATAAATCCTTATCAATCCTATTAGCTGCCCTTAAAGTGGATGACGTAAAGTTCTTGTTCAAAGCGGGAAGAGGCCCCGTGGGCTGTACAGGGGACAGCCGCACCTTAGCGGACCTCCCCGGACGGTCTTCCAGGACACTCTGCTGGCTGTGGGGTCTGCTTTCACACTCTGACAGACTACTCTTCCTGCCCTGGCAGACTGGAGATCCTGCTGAGTCCTGCTCATTTCTGACACCACCGAGAACACTTTGGTCTTCTTTAAGAGAGTCTGTGGAGGAGCCAGTTTCAGCTCGATCACTAAGGCTCTCCTGGCTGTTTCTTAACCTCCTGGATCTGGATGTCGCCTCCAACGAAACACTTCTTTTGCCGAGCTTTGACAGTCTGGGTCCCACAGGGGGCCGAGGCAAGTGAGCAGCGACCTTACCTCCTGCATTTTCATCATCAAACRCAGGGCCACCATTGTGCTTCTGGGCAGATTTGACATCCACTAAGAAGGTTTTGTTTATACTGCTGTCAGTAGGATCACAGTCTCCTTTTTCAGGAATCTTGCAGGTTTGGTCCAAGGCGAAGTTCTCTCCATTCTCAGCCATCCTCTCCTCATTTCACCGGCTGGAGTCAGCTGGATAAAGCTCTCTCATTGCAAAACACCTGCAGATATGCAACAAAAATACGTTAAACCATAGACACAATAAATGGTAGCTACTKGTTGATGCTGTCACCAGATCATGCAGATCGAAATATTACTTTTTATATTTTTTCTGGAACGGCTAACACTGCTGGCAGCAATTAGAAAACAACAAATACCCGACTTGTATTCCCATTAATTCAAAATTAATATTAATTTAGCACAAATGTGATTCAGCTAGTTCGTATCTGCTCCTCTGTTGTAGTCAGCTAATGCTAACAGCATAGCAGCATCATAAAACCCACACAGCTAGCTGAGCTAAACTGCGGTCAAACCGGATGTTGTTTTCAGGTCTTTAGATTGTTCGGTAACGTTGGTCGTTTAGATTTTCTGATCTTAAAAATCATTTCGTAGTCACTACGTTTATTTACCTTCAGAAAACTATTGGCCCCAGGGCGCTTGTTTTAAAATTAGCTCCGCGACTTCCTTAGCAACGTTTAACAACATGGATTTTGTTGCTAAGAGGGTCCGTCATTGAGTTTGAAATGTTTGAAACACGTCACAGCGCCCCCACGTGGTAGAAAAATGAATTACAACGATTAAGACCYACCTAAATGCTCTTTATTCGCAGTGGTTCACAAAGTTGGGGTCGGAACCCAAAGTGGGGTCCTGAAACATCAAGGTGGGGTCCTGAAAAGATTTTCTAAATTAATTAAATTTTTGCCTTAGTTGCATAAAATGTATAAATGTAGAATAATAAATATTGTTACTATGCCCATGTTTTGTTGACCTGATACAAATGTTCATCATCCAGAAATAGTTGGGGGCACAGGTCTCTGCTACTGTTATTTTGTGGGTCAAAAGCTGAAAAGTTTGGGAACCATTGCACTTCAGAAATCAATTTAAAGGGTAATAAAATAATTAGTGATATAATGTTTTCCCTATAATTATTACAAAAACACAAAATAAGTATAAATAAGTATTTATATTTGTGTAGCCTTTGTTTTTAGGGTTATTAACAAAGTTTATGTACTCTGATCAGTAATATTTGGGGTCACAAGTTTTTGCCATGAATATTTTTTGGGTCACAAGATAAAAAGTTTGGGAACCACTGCTCTATTGTATGTGTACAGTTTATGTGACGATTGTCAGGTTTTTCTTTAAAACGGTAATTAAATGCATTAAAATATTTAAATTAAGATTTTACAGAAACAAAACGTTGTACTTTGTTCTTTTAATTTGAATAATTTTTGCTATGCAGTATTGCTTGATTGATTTTATTTAGCAGTAATATTGCATGTACATACACATCGAGTACAGTCATTATTAGTACTTGATAACACAAGAAAGTGAGAAACACTTATTTCCATTGTGGTCCAAAAATTAAGTGACAGATGGGGGAGAATAATGCAGTAAATAATAATATAGTAATAATAATGCCGTAATAATTAATTAATTATTTAATTAAGTACTAATTACTGCAAGTAAAAACCACATTATTAATAGTGTTTTTACTGTGGAATCCTATATTCTGAATAGTATTTGAGACATCCTGTAACCTTGTTACAAACCTACTGAAACATGTGATTACATGTAGAACATTTTATATCCAAATAAAGATTTTCTTTTGCTTTATTAGCTTAATATGATGTTTTGACTCCATCTATAAATTGAAACTCCACATAAATTATCGAAATTTTACGTATATTTTATATTTACAGTCATATTTCACATTTTTTATTCATCCTTTTTAATATTCAATCTAAAATATAAGAAGCAAATTTCAATTTATTGACACTAACATGGATTTTTCCTTAATCCAGTCCACCTTTGCTCAATTATGCATCCATTTTAATTTTGTTTTGTATAAATTTAATGTCAAAACACAACTCAACTGTTTAGTTTACAGCACATCCAAGTTTCTACCTGTTTTATTCTTTACCATGTTTATTTTTGAGTATTATTTTATGTTCTTTACAACGTTGTTTAACTTGCCTTTTCATGAAAGCACAAAAGCTTTGTGTGTGATTTTACACACAAAACATTGCGTCACAGAAACGGGAGAAAAAGGTTGTTGCTGACAAATCTGTGTGTGGAACTGAATGAACAATGTCAAAGTGTGACCTCTGATTGTTAACCCTTTCATCCCCTCTGTGACCCCGATGCTGTGTGAGAAGCCGCCGCTGAAAGGGTTTCTGAGCTCACTGGCCCCTGGAAATGTAGACAATCCTTCCATATTCTGTGTTTTTCTGTTTGCTGCTGACTCGGCGGGGTTTGGGACAAAGGGCCCGGTCCTGGGGCTCGGGTATAAAAGGCAAGGGTTAAACCAGGTAGGGCACAGTTTGGTGCAAGAGCAAGAACATCAGCAGCTTCAACAGCAGCAGCAGCAGCAGCCCACTGACCATCAACATGACTTCCACTGGAATGAACACGATGAGCAGAGTAAGTTTTCACAATAGAAAATAACAATTTTTGTCTTTAAACTCTTGCTGTTTTTTAATTTTGCTAAAGGTGTTTGAGGAAAATTTAAAAATGCACAGTCGGTGAAACAAATGTTCTTTCTTGTTTAGATCATCTTCTACGAGGACAGGAACTTCCAGGGTCGCTCCTACGAGTGCATGAGCGACTGCCCCAACATGTCCTCCTACCTGAGCAGGTGCCACTCCTGCAGGGTGGAGAGGGGCTGCTTCATGGTCTACGACCGCACCAACTACATGGGCAACCAGTACTTCCTGAGGAGGGGCGAGTACGCCGACTACATGAGCATGATGGGCATGAGCGACACCATCAGGTCCTGCCGCATGATCCCCATGGTGAGTACCCTACCCTACCCGCCCTTTGAGCTCCTCTCTACACCCTCTGTTGGGGGGCTCACGGTTTAATCTTCTGGTCGTTCCCCCCACACAGCACAGGGGATCCTACAGGATGAGGATCTACGAGAGGGAGAACTTCGGAGGCCAGATGTACGAGCTGATGGACGACTGTGACAACATCATGGACCGTTACCGCATGTCCAACTGCATGTCCTGCAACGTGATGGAYGGCCACTGGCTGATGTACGAGCAGCCCCACTACAGGGGCARGATGATGTAYMTGWGGCCCGGRGAGYACAGRARCTTCASGRRMATGGGMTTCRGMGGCWCMAGGTTCATGAGCATGAGGCGCATCAACGACTCCTTCTATTAAACTCTTTGCACTAAATAAAAAACTGTCTGAAACTAAAGTCCTGCTGTCCGTCTTTATTCCAAAAGGGTCTTCATTTAGAGTTAAATACAACACAGATATWTTTTTTGTCGGTTTTTCCAGACTTTCACTTGCATTCTGCCTRATGGCCGCTAGAGGGCGACTCTTTGAAAGTATTGTGAGACAGTAGGAAAACAACCTTTTTTATTACCTAATTTATGGCTTATTGCTCCCATAAATTATAGTTCCTGCAGTTTATTTTAAGTCTTTTTCATTGTTTATTGTTTGTTTAGTGAGTCATTGTCCCACTTACAGCAAAACAAACCAGAACTCAAAGCTTTTAAACAGCAAAAGTCATCACTTCCTGTGTGTTTTTTAATTTAATTTAATTTAATTTAATTTAATTTAAAACAGATGCAGTAAGGGACAGCTGCCACTGAAACATATCTTCACACCCCTTTTGCCACCCTATTCATCAGCTAGGTAATGTATTTTATATTTATACATAACAAATAGCACAAAAAGTAAAGAAATGTGTGTTTGGTTGATTATTTCTTTCTTGTAATAATGCTTCCCTTGGCAAAAAAAACAAGTGTCATAAAGCAACAGCAAAATAACCTGTTTGTCAACGACAGAGAAGATA